GCCCTCCTGTATATTTTTCCTCACATTCAACACTTTTCACTTTCAACACATTTCTAAATGTCATAGGTTTAATAACTTATTTCTAATAACTGATTTCTTTTATCTTTGGCATGATGACAGCACATAATATTTTACTTGATAATTTTTAAGGCAGTGTTCAGCTTAAAGTCACATTTAAAGGCTTAACTAGGTTCATTAGGCAAGTTAGGGTGATTAGGCAAGTCATTGTGTAACTGGTTTGTTCTGTAGACAATTGAAAAAAAATTTGCTTAAGGGGACTAATAATTTTGAGACTTAAAATGTTTTAAAAAAAATAAAAACTGCTGTTATTCTTACTGAAATGAAACAAATAAGACTTTCTCTAAAAGAAAAAAATATTATTAGAAATACTGTGAAAATTTTCTAAATCTGTTAAACATCATTTGGGAAGTATTTAAACAAAAACAAAAAAATTTTAGGGTATTATTTGTGACTTCACCAGTATATATGCATATTATATATAGTATAAGTTCATGTTAAGGAGAAAAAAACATGCTGAATACGAGATAGTAACAGTAAAGGGTTAAAGCAATATAAAATACTTTTTTCATATTTATTAATAAATATTATGGTTTAGGGGATTGATTCAAGTTTTAATGCAATGTGTCTTTTTCAGTTTTAGATGGGGATAGAGATGGAAGCACTGTGGTCATTATTCTGTCAGTATTGTGCATCATTCTGGCAGCTCTTGTGTTGATGTTAGTATGTAAAAATCAAATAAAGCCCATTCTATGAAAGTCCAATCTCTTGCCATTATTATTGCTAAAATATTTTAGATCCTTTTCACATTTCTGGGTTTCTCAGTAGCAGAAGGTGTAATAGTTGGGTAAACTTATAACTGACTACAACAAATATTATTTTTACAATCATATTTGCTGTAAAAAAAAAAAAAAAATTCCTCTATGGTGTTATTAGGATTTCGGGAAAAAAATTGTGTAAGAGACTGATAATGGCAGCTAGAGAAGGGGAGAAAACGTCTAATTTACTCTCAGCCCCATAGACGCTTCATTAAAAACACCTCGCATAAGCGGGAATTGTTTTTTTTTTTTTTTTTCGTAATTTAACGCAAAGATGATATAATACATGCAAAAATGCATATAAATGTTCACACATTTTTAAAAAAAGTCAAAATATTAAAAACTTTCAAGGATACAAGATTATGATGATGCGTTAAACGCGTCATAACAGTCTTGTGAAATGGGTCCATTAAAATAGGACTTGTGGCATTGCATTGCAAAGGAGAAAGCTGATTTTTCTTTAATGATAATATGGTTATTTACTTGTATTTTGTCTTTCAAATATTTGCTTTTCAATACAATGCCATGATGTTCTTGTGTTCTTTCAAAAAAAAAAAAAGCTATGCAGGTTTGACCTGCAGATCTGTAAATCATGACAGAATATTCCTTAGCTAGAAAATTAGCTTTAAGACTCATTCATTCATTCTCTTTTCGGCTTAATCCCTTAATTAATCTGGGGTCGCCACAGTGGAATGAACCAATAACTTATTCAGCATATGTTTAACACAGCAGGTGCCCTTCCAGCTGCAATCCATCACTAGGAATCATCCATACACACTCATTCACATACATACATTGCAAACAATTTAGCTTACCCAATTTACCTATAGCGCATTTGGACTTGTGGGGGAAACCGGAGCACCCGGACGAAACCCACGTGAACACAGGAAGAACATGCAAACTCCACACAGAAATGCCAACTGACCAAGCTGAGGCTCAAACCAGCGACCTTCTTGCGATGAGGTGATTGTGCTACCCACTGCGCCAATGTGCAGCCCACTTTAAGACTCAGAATATCAAAAAATCTTTTATTTTCTTTGACCATACAATACAAATCAGTGGTGTCCAAAATTGTTTTGGTTCTTATCAACTGTTTTCTTATTGCCAAAACATTTTTCATGTCAACAGGTGATTGTAATTATGTTTTACAAAAGCAGAATCTAAAAAAGTTCTAGTCCTTTAGGAGCAAAGAAGGGCAGAAGATCCCCAGTTTCCCAACAAATATGTGAGAAAATTAGTGAAATGTTTAAAAACAATGTTCCTTGAAGAAAGCAAGGAATTTATTTGGATATTTCACCTTCAACAGTGCATAACATCATTAAAAGATTCAAGGAATCTTGAGGAGTTTCAGTGAGTAAAGGACAAAGGTGCAAGCTGTGATCTGTTCTAGCTTTCAGACTCAGAATATCAAATAATCTTTTATTTTCTTTGACCATACAATACAAATCAGTGCTATCCAAAATTTGTTTGGTACTTATCAACTGCCTTCTTGTGGCCAAAACATTTTTCTCTGTTGTGTTGTGTTCCTCCAAAAAAGGTTATGCTGGTTTGACATCATGTACATGCGTATATAAAAAACTGAATGTAGCTTGTTCAATTCTTTCTTTTTTTAAGATCACCATATCAAATAAGATCATAATCATAACCCACATGAAACACTATTCCTGTGATTTGAGTTTACCCAAATATAAAAATGACCTCAACATTTACTCTCCCTTATGTGGTTTTAAACCGTATGAGTTTCTATTTTGAAGAATGATTTCAGTAGTGTAGGAATGTGATTTAACTTCAGCGGTTCATACTGTAGTTCTGCCGAATGACTAAAAAACAGGATCAGTGTGATGGTGAAAAGCTGTACATTTCTAGTCAAACCATTCCTCTGCACTCTCAGACCCAAAAAATGAAATAAGGACAGTTTTAATAGTTAAAATATGGGAGAGTGTTGCTATTATGTGATTGTGTTGTACTGCAATATGGAGCAATTAAGGTATTAAGTTAAATCAAAAGTAATTTGCAAAGTACTTGAAAATGAAATTATTTAATGACAATTAATTATGGTTTAAACTGAATTAGTTACAAATAAACTGTATAAAATGATAAAAAACATACAATATTAAATGTACCCAGCTTAAATGTAAAATAAAGTTACCTGATAGAGAGGGAGAAAGAGGGGGAGCAGAGAATAAGGTCCAAAGAGAGAGCCAGAGAAGAAAGGCTCAAGGCCAAAAAATAACAGAGCAGGAGAGAGCAAAGTGGCAAAAGAGCTGGAACAATGTTTCATTCATTCATTCATTCTCTTGTCAGCTTAGTCCCTTTATTAATCCGGGGACGCCACAACAGAATGAACCGCCAACCCATCCAGCAAGTTTTTACGCAGCAGATGCCCATCTCTGGAAAACATCCACACACATATTCACACACACACACTCATACACTATGGACAATTTAGCCTACCCAATTCTGGGTACTGTGGGGGAAACCGGAGCACCCGGAGGAAACCCACACGAAGGCAGGGAGAACATGCAAACTCCACACAGAAACACCAACTAGAACAATCAGTTCAAATAAAAACACAACAAAAGTCAATAGAATACAATACAGATTTTAAATATGCAGTCAGGTTAAAGAGAATAAGCAGATGTTCTGAGCACTTCTAAACAGATGTGTTTTGAGTTTGGATGTAAATTGTGAAAGAGTCTAAATTACAGAGATCAGAAGAAAGTGAATTTCAAAGCTGAGGAGCAGAGTGGCTGAAGGTTCTGCTCCCCATGGTGACAAGGCGAACAGAGGGAACAGTGAGGTGAATAGGAGAAGACCTGAGTGTTCGAGAAGGCGTAGCGATATGAACAAAATTAGCAAGGTATGGAAGCCAGTGAAGCTGTTGTAAAATGGGTGTGATTTGACAGACAGAAGGAGTTTTTGTGATATGATGAGCTTCCTTTGAGACAATACGGGATGTCAACCAGCATTCTTCAAAATATGTTCTTTTGGGTTCAACATAAGAAAGAAACTGAAATAGTTTTTGAACAAGTGAAGGATGAGTGAATGAATTTTCAATTTTGGGTGACCGATCCCTTTAATGAAAACAGCAGTAAAGCGATAAATGGACCTGTTGGGATTAATCATGGTGCTGTTCTCACAAACCTTTAACCACACAGGTATGCATCATAAAACAGTTCAATTAATCAATGTTATCTATGTCATCACAGCAGTTTTATTGCTAAATGAGAACCAGCTCGGAAAATAGAGAATTATATGGTAGTGTGTCAACACTGATGGCACCAGAAAAAATAGTCGAGAGACAACACTGCAAACACTGGATTTCAAAGATGCTTGTTATTCAAAGGTGTAATGACAGGGTGCAGCGGATAATGTATGTTTGGCTTGGATTTGTAATGTACAGGTGGGATGAAGAATGACTCTGAGGTTCTTTTTCCACAATAATCTCTTCATTACACTGTGTCTGTGGGGCGTTAGTCTTGTGTAGCAAGAGAATAACAGAGAGATTATTATAGGTGAAGTTAAAATGAATCCAGTGAAATTTTCATTTAAAGAGCCCCTATTATGGATTTTAGAAATTGAGCTTCCATGCAGTGTGTAACTCAGCACTAAGTGAATGGAAACATCCAGCTGAGGTTTAAATCCAAAACTGCACCGTGATTAAAAATATTGATTCTTTAACCAAATAGTTGATTCAAATGGACCAGTTCATTCTTCCTCCACATCATAACATGTAAGTGTTTATATGTTATAGAAAAATATTAAACACAAATTAAAAAAGGAAAGGAATAATAAAGGAAAAATCAAGAGAAGCAGAAAATTGAAAGTTTTAGTTGAAATTTTGTAGGTTGTCATATTTTCTTTGCAATATTTTGCTTGAAATAATTGTATTATCTTTCAATTTCTCAACATGTTTGGTAAATAAATATTATTTTAATAAATAAATATGTTTAATAAATCTGATTTGTTTAAATGCATCAAAATATATTGCCTATATTCACTGAGAAATGGATACAAATTTTCATTTTCAAAATGGGGTGTATTCAATTATGCTGCGCACTGTACATATATACTTAAGGGCCTGGTAACAAGAAGCCTCAATTATATTTACCCAAACTTACTCCGCTGCCAACCACCAAAAAATATTGGATGTAAAATGGGCAATCTTGTCTCCTCAATTATATTTATTAACATTTCAGTGTAGAAAGCCTAGAATTTTGTAAAAGTACATGACAAAATTATATTTCACTTTAGTATAAACATGATAAAAAAGAAGATTTATAACTCTAGGTATAAGAACAGCTGCACATAAATGGAATAAATTACATATTATATATTTAATATGAAACATTTTTGACACAACATACAAATAAATATGTTTCAAATGTAAAGAAATGACTTTCGGTACACTGATGTGACTCCATCTGAGTCATTGACTTGTTGGAATGTGTGTAAATTGTTTATTCAGTCTTTCTTGTGAAATTTACAAACGATTGATTGTGACAGAAAACCACCTCACCGCTTGTGTTGTCATCACGGCCAGTGAGGTGATGTATCAGCCTTGAATCGCAGCAAGTTGAAACATGCATGAAGAACTGCTCAAGTATTACATTGATGGTTATGGTTCGTCGCACCAGTTGATCCCAGCTTTTTTCGCCTCACCAGTGTTAACCAAATAACTCCAATGAGCAGAACAATACAAACCAACGAGAGGACAACAACTGTGGCAGTACCTGGATTTGATTTTATGTTCTCATCTGAAACAGAAAAAGATTTAAAATAGATTTGGCATTGCACTTTATTGTCCTTTGCAGGAAATTTGTCTAGAAATCAAGCTACACGTCTGTCTTTGACTCAATCCACATATAACAATTGACAAGTAGCATTAAGAAAACTAACAACAGTGACAACTTTATAAGTTTATCATTTAAATGTCAATGAATATATGAGTTCCTGCAAACTCTCCTGCCATGACTGAAAAACAGTTTCTGAGAGTGATGGTATGAACAGCAACAGAAGGTTTCTAAGTGTAACAAGCCTTCCAAAAAGAGACTGGGGCTGCTTTACATACTTCCTCACTATAGTAAACAGAAGTAATCAGTACACTTTAAAAAAAAAAGTAGGTTTCACACAACTCCTTCATGTTGTCCAATACACATGGGCCGGTACAAAATTCTGAAGCTAAGATGACCTTAATAAAATAAAAATATCACTGTTTCACGGTATTGTGTTTACTGCTCTAAAATCTAATCTTTATAAATGTCTGGGTAAAAAAACTAAAACTTTTCCCTATTATACACAATATATTTTCTTTTAAGAAATATTTTAAATATTTTGCACCAGTAGTTTTTGATGTTTAGGTTTCTTTTATGGAGATACTGTTGCCCTCAAAAACTAAATAAAATAGTTATGAAAAACATGTGGAAAAACAAACAAACACTTACATAGACCCTAGGAATGATATAACAGAGTACTTTGGCAGTTTTAAAATTTTGACTTTTGCAAACCGTGGTAACCTTAAAACTTACAAATTAAAAATTACAAATTTAAGTGGATTGAACTTAAAAATAATTAAGTTGTTACCCAAAAAACTCAAGTATTGCGTCGTTTCAACTCATTTTAAATAAGTAGTTTGAACAAAGAGCAAAAGTCTTTTTTTTAATGGTAGTGTGTCTTTACAGTACTCAAAAGAGCTGGAAAAAACAAACTGACAACCTACTGTACGACCAATGAGACTCTGTAGTGCACAAACAGTGGACACTTGACTATCCCATAAGGCCACAGGACAGCATTTGTGAAAGGCTAAGAAGAAACTCACACTGAAAGGTCATGTGATAATAACAACATGGTGAATGTAGTACATCCGGATCACATTCATACTCTATAAAACACATGAAAAAAAAGACTGATAGCAAAATAAGAGCTTGTAATGTTAAATGCAACCTAGAGTCGTTCTTTTGCGTTATATTTTTAATACAACATATGATGTTTTTGCAGTTATAAAGACCAAAATTTGACAGAATTCTACAATTTCATCAATTTCGAGATCAAGACTTTAGGCTGGTTTATACTTCTGCGTCGAGTGATCAGTGTGACCCATGGAGCATTTTTTGCATGTAGTCGTGCATTTATACTTCTGTGTGCTGTTTGTGTCACTCTGCAATAACACTTCTGAAACACTAGCTGGCAGCAGGTTTTTATGTTCCTCTGTGTCGAGTCTCTTCACGGGTGTTTTGTTTTTCCTGAACGCTACCTTAATGTACAGGTAGCTAAAACTTTCTCATTCTGAGGCAGGAACTGGCGGACATGAAACAACTTTAATCACAAGGTAAACACATAACAACAGTTTCTATCTGGAGCTCCTTCTTGGGACTTGACACTTGTAAACACTGGTTGTTGCTAGATCAGATACGGTTGCGGGTGGTAGTTTACAATGATTATTTTTTAAACTTTCGTATTTATTGTATTTTATTGATGTCTACCTCTACCCCAACCCTAAACCCAACAGTCACAGTGACGTAAAAACACAAGTTGTACCAGTATTATTTGTGCTATTAATTAAATTACCCAATAAATTGTATTTTATTAATACCAACCCCCACCCCAACCCTAAACCCAACCGTCAGAGTACTGTAAAAATATGAATTATTGTTATTATGTTACAAATAACGATGCTATATTGATGTGCATAACCGCAGCTGTATCCCATCTAGACACTTGCTCAATCAGGTTCACAGCTCTCAACACCACCCACACTCGTTACCATACCAAGCCGAGCAATCACAGAGCTTGCGCTACATGTTGTCGCGTTGTGTAGTTACATTTTTTTGAGAGGGGTTACTTGCATGCTATCTGCTTTTTTTTTGTCTTTTTTTTTAACTGCATTGTTATTATTATTATTTTTTTAAATGTATTTAATTGTTTTGATTTTGCTCTTCAGGCCTGTGGATATTGTGTAAATAAATTCTTTATTATACAGTTTCTTGGAACAAAAAAATCCTTTGACCGCATGAAAGCTGTGTCAGTGTCCTGACATTTTATCCTACCCATCAGATTATGCTACCAACACATTTGAAAGGTTCTGAGGTTGGGATTAGGGATTAGAGCAATATTACAGCTTCATATCACACTGCTTCACATTACAATTTACACTGGTGGTAGCAAAATCTGATGGTTAGCATATTGCATCATTAAAATGTGCTACCTACTTTTTGAATGGGAGGTAGGACAATCTGACAAAGTAGAAAAACTCCTTTAGTCTTATTTGAAGTAAAAGAGTAGTTTTATGAGTCACACATATTCTGATGCAGACACAAGGTATTTGAAACACAATGCTTATCCAAATTACAGAGCACTGTCAGTTTTCTCACAGCTATTATTGTTAATCGGACACCTTCTGGTAGTTTCCATAATTATCAGGCAAACCTTATTTTACTGTCAGCTTAACTTTCCAGTCTTTACTGACTCTGTAAAATGCTGAGGTGTTCCACAGTGACTGAAACCCTCTGACTGCAGGTTGTGCAGATGAAGGCCATATAGATGACATTTTTTACAATTCTGCATCTTTACACCAGTAACTTATTTAAGACCCCAAATAGGCATGGTCTAACAGGGTTGTGCTTATTCTCTTAATGAGTTATGGGTGTGTTTTGAGCATAACATGCAATAAACCAATCTGAGTCTCATCTTGCATTCCCTTTAAGAGTCAGTTGTGTCACGCCATGGCACATTTACTATTTACATGGCAGACTTTGTAAGAGGAAAAACTGAATTCTTCACTAGTGAGAAAACAGACCATCTGCAGCACAGGGATATAGAACGAGCCTCCTCCATTTGGCTTCTTTACTTTCTCTTTACTTTTATTCTTTACTCCTTTACTTTTGTGGATAAAGAAATGGTGTTGTAAGTACTCCACTGAAAATTAGCCTACATATTTAATTTAGTTTGTTAAGCACAAAGATTTGTTTCAAAACTATTTCTCAATTCAGTTCTAATTTCTAGCAAACTTATAAATGAACAATAATAACAAAGTGTTGTCAAGAAACAGATATCCAAACACACAGCTGTAATAAATTACATTTGCTCAGTGTTCTACACCAATATATCTGTAATAAATTACATTTTCATGCTTTGTTTATTCTCCACAAATAAACAGGTAGCACATCATAATAATAATGTAGATTAGAGTGCTCGCATATCTACACTATTATTACTGTAGTAAATTAGCTCAAGGTTATTCTTCCCGCACCTTTCCCGCCGTTATAATGTTGCGAGTTATGATTCCGATTTCAAGGCTCGTGTACCTTCTGGAACATTATATAGCGGACTAGCTTAGCGGGAGGAAGATTCATTTGAACGGGGCTACTGAGGCAGAAGAATTTGCATAGGTAAATTTTATGCAAATGACAGAAATGTTAAAGTCTCTTAAAACGTTAATATGTTGCACTCAAATTAAAATAAAATGTCAACGATCGATTTATACAGCAAGTAAGCTTTTCAAAAAGTCCAAACTTGAACAGTATAAGAGAATCCTTAGCCTAGGTACAGTTAAACATTATATGCAAGGGTATTAAAACCAAAAATATTAATACAAGAGAAAGGGAAACTTTGCAAAACATATGATTAAACATAAAGGGAGTAAAGTTTATATGAAAACATCAGTGTTAAACAAGCAGTTTAAAGAGTCCTTTCTAAGTTGTTCCTGTGTTTAATGCCGCATGGCACATTCCTTTGGGTCGTAAATACCTTAGAATCAGGTTTCGAGCCTTCTCTGGGCAAAGTTGGCTGGTTGGGGAATAAAATGCAAAATATTTATGTGTCTGGTCTTCCATATTCGTTACACAGCCTATACTTATGCCCCATATGGTGATGCATACGTCTCCAAAAGCCGACAGGTGGACAAATCTAAACTTGTTTTTATTAAAACAAATATAAATATACATACATATAATAAACAATATTACTACTAATAACATTATACAAATACAAATTGTCATGAATAAACTGAAACAAAAAGCCCCAGCAAGATGAAGAAAGCATTGAGGCAGTGGTTTTTATATTTATATAGAAAATAATAATTTTTAATAACAATTTGTTCCTTTAATTTTTTTCATATGTGAAGATATTTGTGTATTGCTGTACATCCTGTGTGTAAGCATGTGTAAGCATTTGGACCTGCATAGGTGCATAACTAACGCACTCTGTGGTGGACTTTACACCAGCTTTTAGTTGGTCAGTGGCACAATCTATTTCAATTCCTTAAAATAGCAAGGCACAATGTGCCTTAACACAGCTCCATTTCACACCTGCGCACCCATGAGTCCACAAATCGGTGCAAATGGATTTGCTATTTAAATAACATGGTGCAAAACAGGACAATTAGGGTTGCACTGGTCTGAAAATAGCAACAAACCACTGCACCATACACGTCTTTTGGGCCTTATTGTGCCAGGTGTATGATAGGGCCCTAATGCTTAAAACAGTAAAATGTGTAAAAAAAAAGTCAATGAAAGGTGGAAGTAAAAAGTAAAGAGTGTAAGTAATTATTCACTTAATTGTAGTAATCATGTACGTTCCTTTTGCACTTTTTTGGTCATGTCACAATACATGACAGAGTTTTTACAGCGTATATTCATTCATTTCTTAATTTTTTTTAGGCTTAGTTATTTTAATCTGGGGTCGCCACAGTGGAATGAACCGTTAGCGCATAAATATTTATGTAAATAAAACAAAACAAATATTTACAGCACAGTTATTG